CAACTATTTCATCATATTTTAACACATTAAAAGTATATGTTTTAGTATTAGTGCTATCATTTTTTAGATCTCCAATTGTCTTTCCCTTAGACACTCTAATAGGTTTACATGCATATAAAGGCCCATCTTTCAATTCGGCCACGTTAACCTCTCCTTCTTCCATGTATTCGTCCTTAGACTCTATGGAATAATCCTTTGTGTCTACATAGGAAATTTTGCCTTTTCTATGGTCCTTTGACACCATAGCTTTCTCTCTTTTTTAAACGTTCGACATATCGAACCTTATCAGCTAGTTGGGACATATCCGTAATAGATTGAGGATCAAAATTTTTCCTAATAGAATAATCTAACCCCCCAACGACCATTTTGACCAGCTCATGTTCAGGAACCCAAGTAAAGCATCTAGACTTTAGGACCCTAAACCTATTCAAATACTCTTCCATTGACTCAGACGACCTTCTCTTGATGGAGGATAATTCTTTCAAACTTATCTTAGGCTGACCAACATAAAATTACTCATGAAATATTCCCCCAAGTTGTTCCAAGTACGTATGGAGTTTGGAGTCAACATCGTAAACCAAGTAAAAGCATTCATTGTCAATGAATTAGGAAAATATCTTAATTTTAAGCCCTCGTCATTGGCAATATCGCCGGCTTCTGTTTCGTACCTAGCAATGTGTTAAATGGTCGACTCATTAGCCTCACCAGCAAACTTGGTAAACTTGGGTACCTTACATCCCCTAGGTAATTCTGCCTGTCGAATGTAATTAGGAAAAGGCGAAGAGTAATTGGGCCTCCAGAGACCAACATTTACTTTGGATTGTGTTAATACTTCTTCTACCACATTTACTATGTTGTTACGTCCAACAGTGGCATTTCTTAATACTCGATCAACATTTTGGTTTCTCCTAACTACGATTGGCCTGGGTTCATATTATTCAATGAATTCTTCCTCTTCATAAGTGGGTTCTTCCACTCTTCGAGGTCTAAAATGACGCTCATTGTTGCCCCCCTCTAGTTCTTCAAAAACCATCAACGGCTTATGGCGCGTTTGAGTTTGAGTTGGTTGGTCCCCTAATGAGTCGATCAGTCTACCTATTTGGTCAACTACATTATTGAGGGTGACTTCCATTTGTTGAGTTAAAACATTTACTAACTCTAAATTACTCTCATCCATCTGTTTCCTTAAAACCATAACGGATTTAGTATTCAAAGACGGTGTCGACTGCGGGACATAACTAACACCACCTAGTCGACCACTTAGGGCATAAATGTCATGGTTTCTAGTGGCCACTGTGTTTTTTTATATATGTGGCAGGGTTCGAATGTAACCCAACCATCATGGAATAAGGCATACCATATTTGTGAGGGACAAACGATGACCCTGGACCCCTTGGAATGAGTGGTCGATTTGGGTCAAATGGTGATACCCCATGCCTAGGTTCTGTCATTGTGACTGTTGTCACTGAACCATGAATAGTTGTCGATCTCACGGGAGATAAAACTGTCGCGCTTTGAGTTGTTGTACTTACTGGTATGACATCCACATTTTGTATAGAAATTTGTGTATGTGAAATGTTTGTGTCAGAGCGTGGAATTTTAGACTTAGACAAAAGTTTACCACTTCTAAAATTCATACACACACTAACTAAAAGAAACTTTGTGAAACTATACACAAAATCCGAAAATATTAGTATTGTCCCACCAGGTGTGCCAATTTATTTACCTATGGATTTAGTAAACAACGTTGGTCTCTTTAAAACAAGTTTACAGGCGAGATCGACCAGAGAATCTCAGTACAGTGCTTCAGTTCGCGTGCGTAGTTAAAGCGTTCGTTCGACTAAGAGCCAAACGACTTGATAAAAGACAAAGTAAATAAGACAAAAAAGCGTTTGTTCGACTGAGAGCCAAACGACTTAATAAAAGGCAAAGTAAATAAGACAAAAAGCGTTTTAAATTGTAAAAGTTAATGACATAACATTAAAGAAAGGTTGAAAATAGGTTGGTTCAAACGTACATTGTCTTTACCAGACTCATTTCGCTCGTTCGCTTGGTTACTCTGAGTGACTAGCGTATAGGAATGTGAAAGTTTGACCTTTTACAAAGTGCACTAAGTGTTTTATTTATAATACACATAAATAACTACTTTTTAATCCATGTTCATCACTCCTGATAACAAATCCACGTTTTCCCCTCCATAACGCTTCACCTTTGCAGTTTAGGCGCTTATGAGCCTTTTAGCCTTTCTGGGCTTCTTACCTCACTTGGGCCCAATCCATTCACCATGAACCCTTCTCTGATCGACTGTACTTACGAAATCTTGATCGACTACCTGTGAGATCATCCATGATCGACATGCTTATGTAGTCGACTCCTTATAATTTAATGCTCTTAAAAATATTTTTTTAACTTTTGATTTAGATTTCTCTCTTTATGAAAATCCTAGCCAACAATCACATAGGACAATTTTCGATATCCCATAAGACAATTTTTTATTTTTCCATGTACTTTCGTAAGGACAATAATAAGGATTACTAAATGCTTATAAAAAAAATAAGGGTGACTAAATAAAAACTTAATAAGTGATAGAATAATAATATAGTTGTTTTATTAAACCAACTCAATTGATAATTATGTAGAAATATCAAATACATGAATACGAGTTCGAATCAACGACATCCTATTTATTTTATTTTTAAAGCTGAAATTCAAATCATTAGATTATTTAAACTAAAAAAAGAACAATATAATTTCTAATCATTCTTAAATAAAAAAATATTTTTGCAATTACATAGACTTATCAAAATATCCTATATGCATCCCACTAATCCAATACTTTACGATTTTTTTTGTGATGGCAAAAAATATTTATCAAATACAGATTTTATAATTGATGTTTGAACTCGACCCTATGTAGGATATGCATTTCTTAGGCTGATCTGTATATTTTTATTTATAATTAAATTATCTTACGAAATAAAAAATACTTAAAAATATATTATTTTTATCATCTAAAATTTTAATTAAATTTACAACAACAAAAAATAGGCCTAAATGTCTGCGTTAATTAGCATATTTTAGTTTAACGTTAGGTTACAGATTATTTGAAATTAATTAAACAGAATTTAAAATTAAAAAACAAATCACAATAAATAAAATTAGTATATTGTTAATAACAACTATTGAAATAATTTTCCATAAACATAGTATCTATATGCATGCATGCTTCATACATAAAATAAAATGTAAACAAAACCTATATAAAATAAAGTTTAATAAATAAAGCTAGCATCTACACCTACTTTATGGTAAGAGAATAATTGTTATGCAGTATAAAATATTTTAATCGATGAGTGTGTTACAATCATTTATAAATAATAATTTTATGTGATTAAAGAAACAGTCAAAAAATTCATAAAAGTTTAACAATTATGATTAATTGATAGTGTTAATTTTTTTAATATTATCCGTGCGTTTCAATTAAATTCCTTATATAAATTATTTTTTTCTAACATTTTATTATTAATAGCAAAAAGAATAACTTAGCATTATATATTAAAAGAAATAAAAGATAACTAAATTGTACCAATTATTACAATTTTGTGGATGCTCCAATTCTAACGATGAAGGCTTCATTGTAACAATTTAGCCCAGCCCAACTTGAATCTGAGTCCAGTTTAATTAAATAAATTTTTTATTAAAAATAAGATAGAGGCTTTTTGGTTGGACAAAAACAGAAAAAATAAAAAAATAACATCGCCCACCTTGGGGCTCGAACCCAAGACCACAAGGTTAAGAGCCTTGCGCTCTACCAACTGAGCTAGACGGGCTTGGTGATAATGTTTTCCTAATAACTTATTTAACATTAGTTTAAAAACCAAGTGAGATCACATTTAAATCATATAAGATGTTCATGTTCAAGTTTTGAAACACTTTAATGATTATAAGATGTTCATGTTCGGCATAATATCACATATCATTTGCCAAAATTGAAATGTTAATTTTGGAATGATTAAGTTGATGCTATATAATTTGTTGTTATTTCTACAAAATTCTACTAAATTTAAATTATTTTGCTATTGTAGAAAGTAGTTTTTAAGATATAGAGATCAATTTATATTATTTAAGTTTAAAGACCTAGAAAATAAAGTCGAGTAATCAATTTTTAGAGTGTAGAATTCAATTTAAAGGACAGGCTTCTTGAACAATTGATATTTGATCCGCACAAATTGATTAATAGTCTCAAAAATGTAAAAATCATTTAAGTGATGACGTAGACTTAAATTATATGTATATGATAGTAAAGAGTCTGATAGATAAGACTGAAAAAAGATATTTTAGTTTTTAGTTTTTCAGTACATATTAATTAAAAAAATTTGTTTGATAATTCGATTTTAACTTTTATTTTGTAGTTTTTTTATTTATTTATTTATTTTCAAAAGTTATTTGAATTAATTTTTGAGTTTGTAGTTGTGATTTTTTTATTTATTTATATCTTTATTATTTTAACAAAAATATATTATCACCCTTATTAATTAAAATGATTTTTATGTCATTTTGTATGTTCTTTATGTTATTTTATATCTATCAGCTAATGAAACAATTAATTTATCAAACATTCATGTTAATTTATCTACTATCAGTCACCACCAGCTATAAACTATCAACTATCAACTAGTTTTACCAAACAGAACCTAAGTAACAAATTATGTCATAAAATAGGTTAATTAGATTATTATAATTGATTAGACTAATTAATATATATATATATATATATATATATATATATATATATATATATATATATATATATATATATATATATATATATATATATATATATATATATATATATATATATATATATATATATATATATATATATATATATATATATATATATATATATATATATATATATATAAAATTAGAATAGAAATTTTCTCTAAGTTTTTTTCTCCTCCTTCTCTCTAGAAGAGGGTAAGGTTTTGCTCCTTCAGATGCAAAACGGTGACAGTCATCAGGAAGGAGGATAGAGGGATGTGAAGAGAAAGCAGTTCCGACATTGGGTCTCTCTCTGGGACTCCTTTTCGGTAGGGAGTCGATCGAAGGTAGAAGGTGAAGTTGCAGTGATTTTGGTGTATTTTTCCGAATTTCCAGATAGGTGTAAAGCGAGGGAGTTCCACAAGTTATTTGGTCCGTTTGGGAATGTTGTGGAAATCTCAATTGCCCCTAGGAGGAACAAATTGGGGAAGAAGTTTGGCTTTGTAAGATTCAAAGATGTGGCGGATGCGCAAATCTTAGCGGTGAAATTGGATAATGTTATCGTCGATGGCAAGAAGATTCACGCGAATTTGCCTAGATTTGAGAGAAAGGTGGGCACGGTTTTGGGGAATCCTCTGAAGGCTACAAGGGCGAACGAGGTTTAGAATTCAGACTCTCGTTTAGGTGGTCTGTATCATGGGGGTGGTAGGTTTCAGTCTGGTCACGACAAAGGTCTTTTACAGAGGCGCTGGTGAATAATCAAGGTAAAGGGGTCAATAGACAGATAGTCAACTTGCGACTTCAGTCGAGGGTGGAAGATAGGTTAATGTTTCATAAATCTTGGGTGGCAGTGGTAAAGGTTTCGGGATCCACTTCTAGGATTCAATCCATGCTTGATAAGGAGGGGTTTTTCTCTATCATGACTTCCAAGTTGGGCCTGAATCACGTCTTGTTCGAGGAAACTGAGAAGGGTGCGTTGGAGGAATTGGTTGGGGAGGATGATTCGAGATGGAAGGTGTGGTTTTCGGAAGTGAGAAGATGGGATATGAATGAGGTGGGTAAGAGAGGATGATTAGGGTGAGAGTTTTCGGTGTTCCTTATTTCGTTTGGAATAGCGATTTCTTTGTGGAGTTAGCGAATTCCGTGGGCAAGTTTGTATGTTTGAATGATAATACTACAAATGGTTTCGACTTCGACGTGGCAATAATCACTTTGTTAGTTTCTTTCAGTTTCAAACTATAGGATATTATCTCGGCGCGCATAGACCGGAATGTTTTTAAGCTGACTCTCGTCGAAGATATTATTACACATCATCATAATTATTCAGGTATTTCTCCATCTCAAATTACTGGTTCAACTTCTTCTGAGTCTCTGGATTCAGACGAAGCTTGATCGAACGATTCATTATGTGGGAAAAGTTCTGTTAGGGGTGAGGAATTTGTCGATAGTATTGAAGAATTCTACGCTCAGGGGGATTTAGACGTTCCAGTAGTATTTATACCTCCCAAGGTTTCCATCGTCTCAGCTAGCAGGGAATCTAAGGCGGGTGACTCTCTTCAATCAGTCATTCGTTCTTTCCCTAAGAAGATTATTCCCTTGGTTTCATTTGATAGTGAGATTCGTAAGTCACAAAGTGGTTCCTCCTTAAAATATAGAAATAGTCCTGGTATTGGCTTTGGTTCTGCATTTGTGGGGGATAATTCAGAAGTGGTAAAATGTTCATTGGTTTCTCAAAAATTACTTCGTGCCAAGAAAGTGAAGTTCAGAAATTTGTTGGACGTCGGGGGAGAGATCAATAAGAAGGTACCTTTTAGGAAGATGATGAAGGTTAAAAAAATGGTTTAGACAATGTTTATTCAAGAAACAGAGTCAATAGGAAATCTACTTCAGTTCCGACAATTCAAAAGCCAACTCTTGTTGTGCCTTGTTCCGTTCCAACTTCAGATGGGTGCGTTTACAGGTCAGATCAGTTGCTTTATGGGGATCAGATAGAGAATGAAGTTATTCTCAAGAATAATCATAAAAAATGAGAGTTTTTAGATGGTTATAATGGAGGTAAGCTTTGGGGGGCTATAAAGGCATTGGGAGTAAGGGGGCGGATGGTAAGAAGAATTTGGTTTCAAAAATTACGGAGATGAAGAAGGTTGTATTGGATAGGAAAGTAAGAATGAAGGAATTTTCAAAGGGTCCTAAATGATAATTGGAACTTTGAATATTAGGGGGGGTGGTAGTGCTCTTAAAATAAGTAGTATTAGTTCGATGATTAAAAAAGGTGGAGCGGATATGTTCTTGATTCAAGAGGTTAAGTTGGCAAGTATGTATGAAGTTTGTGCTAAAAGTATGTGGAGCAACAATGATATTGGATACTTGTTTTCTAATTCAATTGGGTTGTCCGGGGGATTTCTCTCATGTGGAAGGAAGAGGTGGTGGAGGTTATCCATAGTTTTAAAGGGGAAGGTTAGTTGGGCATAAAAGTGTTATGGAAGGATCACTATTATTTCGTGGTTAATGTTTACTCATCTTGTTTCCTTAATAAAAATAAAGAACTTTGGAGTAAGTTGTTGAAGTTGAAGGAGGATAATAAGGATGGGGAGTGGATAATAGGAAGTGATTTCAATACAATAAAACATCAAAGGGAGAGGAAATGGAGGACTTTAATAGTTAATAATGTTGAAACTCAACTTTTTGCGGACTTTATTTTACAAAGCAATTTGGTGGACATCCCTTCAAAAGGAAAGAAATTTTCTTGGTATGATCGAGATGGAAAGTCTATGAGCCGTATTGATCGGTTTCTCTTGATACCATTGTGAATAGATGTAGTGTGATAGGTCAATTGATAGGACCTAGAGACATCTCAGATAATTGTCCTGTTTGGCTTGTGTTTGATAAAGACATTTGGGGTCTTAGACCTTTCAAGTTCAATAATAAATGGTTTTCTTTTAACTCGTTTTTTTCTTTTGTGGAGAAGGAGTAGTATGAGATTAAGGTGGAGGGAAGAGGTGATTTTATTTTGAAATAAAAACTTAGACTTTCAAAAGATAGGTTGAGATGGTGGAATAAGATCGTGTTTGGTAAGGTAGATTTGGAGGTGGAGGAAAATGTGAGCTATTAATTTTGGGGATAATTGTTTAGAAGAAGAAGTTGTTGAAGACCACTCCGACATCTTGAAAAATTGGAAGGAAGCGACTAGTAGTTTTTGGTTTAACTTGAGGATTAAAGAGAATATGTTTGTTCAAAAATCGAAAGTAAGATGGCTTAACGAAGGATATTGCAATAGTAGTTTATTTCACAAAGTGTTGAAGGAGAGAAGAAGACATAATCATATTGGTCCCATTTTTTCTTTGGGCTCTCTTCTTGATTCGGTTGAGGAAGTTAAGGAGGAGGTGAGAAGACATTTTTTGGAACAGTTTGTGGAACCAGAGCAGGAGAGATTGATTTTGGATGGGATTTTGTTTAAAAGTATTTGCTTGGAGGAGAGGTTGGCTCTTGAGTTACCTTTTCAAGAGGGGGATATTAAAGAGGCTATATGGGGGTTATGGGAGTTCAAAGAGTCCAGGTCCCGATGGTTACACTTTTCTTTTTATAAAAAACTGTTGGTTTTTCATTAAAGAGGATTTTATTTGTTTATTTAATAGCTTTCATTCCGGAGAAATTTCTAAGGTGGTAACATCTTCTTTCTTGACGTTGGTTCCTAAATCCCCAAATCTGGTATCCTTGGAAGATTATAGACCTATTTGCTTAGTTGGTTGTTTGTACAAATCTATAGCAAAGTTATTCGCGGGTAGACTTAAAAGGGTGTTGCATTCTATTATTTTTCCGTACCAAAGTGATTTTGTGTCGGGGAGACAACTTCTTGATAGAGTGTTGGTAGCAAACTAAGTGGTAGATTTTGCTAAGAAGGAGGGGAGGAATTCTCTTTTATTTAAAGTGGATTTCAAAAAGGCGTATGACAAAGTAAATTGGAATTTTTTAAGATTCATGATCGAGAAAATGGGGTTCGGTGAGGTATGGAGAAAATGGATGGATCTTTTGATTTTTCAAAGTAAAATGTCAGTTTTAGTTAATGGTAGTCCAACCAAGGAGTTTGTGGTGGAGAAAGGTTTGAGACAAGGTGATCCTCTTTCGCATTTTCTCTTTGTTTTGGTCGCGGAGGGATTAACGGGGTTAGTTAGGAAACCCATGGAAATAGGGGAATATTGTGGTTTCGAAGTTAATGAAAGATGTATTGTTGATATTCTCCAATTTGCATATGATACTTTATTGGTAGGGGAAGGTTCTTGGAAGCATATTTGGGATTTAAAGTCGGTTGGAGAGTTTTTGAACTTGTTTCGGGGCTAGGTATTAACTATCATAAGAGCAAATTGATTGGTATTAATATTAATAGCAACTTTGTGGAAACCGCTTCTTTTGTTCTATCTTGCAAGATGAAATCTAGTAAATTTATTTTTCTTGGTATTTCGATCGGTTCTAATCCAAGAAAATATTTGACTTGGATTCCTCTTTTGAATAAAATGAAGAAGCGGTTATCGAGTTGGAAGAATAGATTTCTTAGCCTTGGAGATCGGATTACTCTCTTGAAGTCAATTCTTTGCTCTCTTACTATTTTCACAATTTCCTTTTACAAGATGCCAACGAAGGTTGCTAAAGAGTTTTCGAGCATTCAAGGAAACTTCTTGCTGGGGGTTTTGGAGGGAAGGAGAAAGATTCATTGGGTGAGTTAGAAGAGGGTTTACTTTCCTCTTGACAGAGGGGGATTAGGCATTAAAAATATTCCAGATTTTAATTTATCTCTTCTTAATAAGTGGAGATGGAGGATTTTATAAGGCTTTGATAATCATTGACTTGATTTATTGAAAGCTCGTTATGGAGATATATCTTTGAAGGTGTATTATGGCGAGGGTAGTTTGAAAGGTTCTCTTTCCGCTTCCTCTTGGTGGAAGGATATTGTTAATATTGGTAACCATTCTTGTCAAGACCCTATAGAGGCCTTTTATAAGTATGGGATTGGTAAAGGCTTCACCATTCCCTTTTTGGAAGCTCGTTGGTTGGAGGAGGCTAGCTTGAAGGAGGAATTTCCAGAATTATACTTGGTTTCTAGTTTGAAAAGACTGTCGGTGGCCAGATTAGGGGTTGGAATTATGGATTTTGGTGTTGGGGGGTGTTATACGGTGGGAGAACTGACTTGGTGTTTTGTGTTTTATCGCAAATGTCGCGGATAACAAGAGTCGTCGTTGACTTTTCTTTTATCAAATAAAGGAAAGGGTGAAAAGAACAGGAAAGACCTTTTGAGAATTTTTTTTGAGTTCGGGGGGGTAGGTTATGAAAAGTGAAGGTGTTAGCACCATTTTAATCCATAGTTATCTACGGGCTCTTAATTGCTAGCTCACTTTGAGATTCTTTGTGTTTGTGTAAGTTTGAAAATATTAAAAAAACGCCTTTGTTCGGAAAACTTTGCAATGATTCTCGTATCGTTGAGAATGTATACAAAGTGCTGGTTTTGGAACTATTTGTTAAAAAGGAATGTTTGGAAAGATGTTTGAAAATGCCAATGTAAGGCAATTTTATAATAATTCTCGTATCGTTGAGAATGTATATCAAATGTTTATTTTGAAAGATATTTTGAAAGTGTGAAGTGTGAATGGTTTTGTTTATGAGCAAGTAATTACGAGCAATCTACCTACTCAAAAAGTCTTTATTCTTTTCCTCCTCCTTTAGATAGTGCTTGTCTACCATTAGTTGGTAGAGAGTCTTATCATTGGATGTGAAGGGCGGGCGTAGGTCATCGTACAGTCATATAAGGCAACTTCCAAGATGTTTTAGCATTTGTCGTAATGGACTAAAATCATTTACCGAAGGCGACATTTGAAGGGTCATTGAGAGTCTGTGATCTTTTAACTGAGGGTCTTTTGCTAATACATCCCACGTTAGAGGGACATGATTGTTTATATTCGAGGCAACAAGTGTGGGTTATCCTAGAGGTGCATGTGTGAAAGGTGTTTTGTTTTCATGTATTTTATCTTGAATTGGGGTTTTGCTAGGTGTTATTTTAAGTCTTGTCATTCAAACCCTAATTACTAATAATAATAAAGAAAGCGATAAATTACGCAATTTAAATGTCCTACGTTATTACAATGCTTTGGGAATGGGGGGTACAAGTTTTGTGAATAGGGGGAAGAAAACAATAAAGCCCTAATTATCTGTTACAAACCATTGAATATGAATAATAATAGTACAAAATGCAAAAATGAAGAAAATTGTTTTTAGGGTTTTTTAATGGAGAAAAAGGTTTTAGTAATCAACCTAATTAGACTAATTAATTTTATTTACAAAGAAGTTAATTAATTATTAACAAGACCTGAAATCTAAGTTCATTGAAATTAAGAAGAAAATAAAACCTAAGTCTAAGTAATTTGTTTAGAAAATAATTTGAATATTAATATTAATTTGAAAAGAAAATGTTTTTATAATGTAAAAGAAATGATAAAAATTAATTTAACAAAAATAAAATAAAATGCTTAACTTAAATTATTTAAGAAAAATATATGTTTTTTGTATTTTTGGTTTTAATAAAGTAAATAGATAAATGAAAATATATGAAAATATAAAAAGAAACAAAAATGAATGGGTTGGGTGTAAAAAAGTGACCAGGGGGTTAAAAATAGAAAATAGGACCAAATAGGTTTTTTGTTGGAATAAGAAATAATAAAAAAAGAAAAAATGGGCTTGCGCTGTTTTTAGCAAAAAAGGGGTATTTAGAAAGAAATTCAGACCAGGACCAAAAGAGAATCCAAGCGCTTGTTGATCCAGTGTGGTTGACTTCTAGGAGTGTACCATGGGGCTTGCATTATGGAGCGTCTGATTTGATTGCCTTGCAGATGGATGGTATGGATGAGGGATGTAGCGCATATGTCTTGGTCTTGCCTATACACAATCTCATAGAAACAAATATGAAAGAAATAAAAGGGTACCACTGGGGCTCTGTGATGTGGTGGGAGAACTGACTTGAGGTTTTGCGTTTGTGTTCGCAAATGTTTCGGTTTAGTAAGAGTCGCCACCGACTTTTTATTTATCCAAAGGAAAGGTCAAAAAGCACAGGAAAGACCTTTGAGATGTTTTCTTGGCCATCGAGGGACTATGATCTTTTATTTTTTGTTTGATTTTGCCAAGATACCTAGCATGCATACCATGGCCATTTTTAAGGCAACAAGTGGATGAAACCCTAGGGGTGCTTGTGTGCATTGTGTTGTCATTTTCATGCATTTTTGTCTTGTATTAGTCAAGCTATTTGTTTAATTTTGGATTTTTGCATACAAACCCTAATCTTTCTATCATGGTATATTTGAAAGCAATAAAGTGCGTAAAAGTAAATCTACGACTATTACAACATTGATTATGGGGAAGGGGATACAAATTTGAATAAGGGATATTTTGCACAAAATAAAAGCCCTAAAATTATTACAACCATATTGAATTCTTTGTGCAAATAAACAAATGGACAAATATTTAAATATGCAATATAATATAAGTATGCAAAAATGTTTTTGTATTTATTTTTATGTATGTGAAAATGAATTATTTAATGTCTTAAAAAATAAGAAGATAAAAATGATATTTTTTGAAAGGGGTGGAAATCCTAATTTGGTTTTAAGAAATATATATTAATTATATTATTTATTCATTTATGTACAAAAAATAAATAAAAATAATATATACAAATGTTAAAAATAAAATGTGTGAGAAAATATTATTTAAGTGTATAAATAATAAAAGTAAAAAATATATAATATTTTTGTAGTATTTATGAATTTATTTTAAGAAAATAAAAGTATATATTATTTAAATATTTCTATGCTAAAAAAATAATAAAAATAATAATATAAAATGTGAAAAATTAAGAGAATATTTTTGATAATTTTTAATGTTTAGAAAAATAAATAAAAGTCAGAAAATAAAAAACGAAATACAAAAATATGCAAAATAATGAAAATGTGCCAGGGGGTGCAAATAACAGAAATTGGGGTGCAAACAGCAAGGCCAAGTCAGGCCCAACCCATTCCATCTTCATCCCTGTCCTCCAGAACGCGCGCGCGCCATGGCTCCACACATCAATCCTGTTCTCTCTTGTTCTTGCATTAAATCAAAAACTCACAACATAAAAGTTATAGCATTTTCAAACACGATTTCAACCATATAAAGAACTTAATCAAACTCTCAAAGACCAGAGAGAATTTCTCTGGCCATAATTTTTAACCTAGTTTTTTCCAGAAAGTTCATCATTCAAATTCTCCCAGCTCAGTTAACTTAAATGAATTATATGCATATGTACAACTCAAGGGCAATGAGGACTACATTTTTTATTCACAAACCTAAGCCTAATGATTCCTAAATAGAGAGATAGAAGTTTGAACTTTACCTGCTTCAGTAAAGCTCGAGTATGGCAATGCAACAACTTTCAGTGAGGCCCGAGGTTCTTTTGAGCTTGCTTGATGTTCCATGGACCTTCCCAATGCTTAGTTTGCTTTGAACTTGCCTGAATCTCCCTATATAACTCAACCTGCAAAGCTTCAAAGCAAGAATGATGAAGTGTGTAAATGGAGTTACAGTGACTTGGGAATGGTTGGGATAGCTTAGGTATGTTGTATGGAGTGTGTTGGAACTGGTTGCAAGCAAAACGCACGAGTGGATTGTGATTTGGAAATCAAAATGCAAAACCTGCCCTGTTTTGACAAGAACTTGTGTTTTGGTGTTTTGGAAGGTTTGAGGACTTGTAAACTCGTGTTTCTGACCTTAGGCAATGTGAAAAACTTGTTTGAAATGTTTACAACACTTGGTTATATCAGATACAAGAGTTGTGGTGATTTTGCAAGTTGACTTGCTTTTGAAGCAAAAGTGAAATGACAATGCTCAAGAGCCTGTACAGGCCTCCTTCCTAGCTGCACAAAGTTGGTGTACCTTGCCCTAAGTTTGTGGAGTTGGTTTGCTGCAAAAGATTGGGTTCACAGCTCAAGAGGAACAACTTGACATAAAGCCAACTTTATCAAAGTGGCAATGTTGCCTTTTTGCCATTTTTAGATTAATTTAATGTGTAAACTTCTAAAGCTCAGAACAAAGCCTTTATCTATTGTGTTTGCATTCAATTTTTGAGCGTGGAAGGGTTTAAGGACCTGTAAACAAGTACGAGCAAGCTTGGGTAGAATTTGCAACTTGTAGCATAGTGAAAAATGCCATAGACCAAAGTGATATTTTGCCAAATTCAAACCTTCGATTCTCCCTAACCATAAATGATTTTGGAGAGTTCTTAGAAATTTTGTAAAGCTTGTAGAATGCTCTACAATCCA